AGAGAGAGAGAGAGAGAGAGAGAGAGAGTGTGTGTGTGTGTGTGTGTCGCAGACATGCAGAGTGGGGGCGGGAGAGGGAGGGAACGTTGGAGGGAGAGAAGGGGATAGAGAGAGAGAGCGAGGGACAAAGGGACAGCGGCAGAGGGAAAGGAAAAGGAGAGGGGAACGAGGAGAGGCGGAGAGGGAGAGAGTTGGGGACGCAGGGTCGAGCAGGAAGAAGGAGGGAGGGAGGGAGAATTTCCAGGGACAGCGGGGGGAGGGAGGGGGAAGGTTGGGGGCAGCGTGCACGTGCGCACGCCAACAAAGGAGGGTGGATGCTTATGTGGGTGCCGTGCGCGTGCACGCGCATGCTTGTGACTGCGACGGCTTGTGGCCAAGCATGCGCATGCACGCATACGTGAGTGCTTTTGGCAGGTCGTCTGCCTCACAGCTGAGAGGCCGCATCATGCCGCCAGTGTCGGGTATACGGAACACTGGCGTCACGCAGCCTGTCACTTCAGCAGTATGACACACACACGCACACACACTCACACCGGCACGCACGCACGCTCATGCACGCGCATGCACACACATACACACGCATACACACACATACACACAATTGCACGCACTTGCACGCACGCACGCACGCACGCACGCACGCACACCTACATGCACGCGCATACGCCTGCACGCGCGCACGCACACACACACACACACACACATACACACACACACACACTCACTGCGCGCGCAGGACGGCCTGTGGGACGTCTTCACCCCCCAAGAGGCCGCCCTCCTCGCCCTCCGCACCGCCGCCCGCGCCCGCGCCCGCGGCGCCGCGCGCGCCTCCGCCTGCCGCGTCGCGAGCGACGTCCTTTCCCGCGCCGCCATCCAGCGCGGCAGCCGAGACAACATTACAGTGGTCACGGTCGACCTGCGGGGGACGCCGTCGCGGCGCCGGCGGCGCGGCGGGAGCTTCGGCAGCTTCGGGGCGGCTGCCGCTGCCGCGGCCGCCTGCGGCGGAGGCGGGGGTGCGGGGGAGGGGGATGAGGAGGAGGAGGAGCTGGCGCCGAGCTTCTCGTCGGTGCTGGCTTCGCAGCTGAGCGGGGAGTTTAGTTTTTCGTTTGAGGGCGACGGCGGCAGCAGCGGCGGCGATCCCGACGGCGACGGGGAAGCTGAAGGGGCGGCGCCGGGCGCGGGGGCGGAGGCGGAGGGAGGCGGCGGCGGCGGCGGCGGCGGCGGCGGCGGCGGCGGCGGCTCGCCGGTGAAGGGCGGCGGGTGGCTGTCGGGGCTGCTATCGCGCGGCGCGCGCCCGCCGGGCCCGGTAGGTGGCGGCGGCACGGCAACGGCCGCGGCCGGCGGCTGCAGCGGTGGGGCCGCGTTCCAGCCGCCGACAGCGGGCACCCCGCGCCGCGCGCCGCTGTCGCTGCGGCGTGCGTGCACGATCACCCCCGTCAGCGTGGGCGCTTTCCCGCAGTCCCCCGGCGCCGGCCCTGCGCCCGCCAACGGCGCAGCTGCCACCGCAGCCGCCACTATCGCCGCTGGCGAGGGGCCGCGGCGGAGCCTGGACGTGTTCGGCTGCCGGCCTGCCCGCCCCGGTGCGGCGGGCGGCGGCGGCGGCGGCGGTGCGCCGCAGGCGCGGGCCAAGGCGCAGCCGGCGCGGTGCCGCAGCTTGAGCGCGTTCGAGTTGGGGCACTGCCTGCGGCACACCACTGTAGACTGCAGTTTGACGAAGCACGACGGCGGCGCGGGCGGCGACGGCGGTGCGTGAGCGCGCGTGCGCGAGGCCGCATCCTGAGGCGGAGGCGGGCGCGCGC